CACATTAGGAAATATATAATATAGGCCTTAATATTTACAGAGTATCTACTGTAAGGGGGAGAAAAAAAAAGTCAATTACAAGGCTTCTATGCATCTTTCTTCCTCTAAAAACCTTTTCATTGGGCTACATAATATAATAGGTTGATGAGCTAAATTGTTGACTGAGGAACAGATGTTGCATATTTTCACTTCTGCCAACAAAACTGGAAATGCAGAAAATCTGCACTAACTATGTAGTTAGTTTATCTTGCTTGTAACCATGCCTTCCTTGACATAATACCAGTTAGAAGAAGACAGCCAAAGAAGTGAAATGGGGAACTCTGAACCATTTTGTGCTATTGACTTGAAATAGAATACTTCAGTCACAAGACACAAATAGAGTATGTTGAGGCACATAAAACAGTGAAACAACTAAGTGCAACTGGAAATGAAGAAAAATCCATAAAAGTCTTCTGGAAGATTACTCCTGCTCTGTAATCTCACCTTTTCAGTTATACCTTACAAGAGTCCACAAGCCAACTGGAGAAAAGGAACCAAAAACACAGCTTTAGCTTGCACATCTGCCTCTAAGTGATTTCCCTGCTTCATCATTCCAAGATTAGAAGGGGAAAGTGCTGAAGACAGAGCGAGGAGGCTTGTGTAGCTAAAAAACAGTCCCCAGTGCTGTGCATCTTCAAGCACAACTGCTCTTTGTTACTACCACAGCTAGTTGGTCCATCTGGGCTGTACCTCATCTCCCTGCAGCAGGCCAGTAACACACTCCCACAGCATCTGGGACATCTGGTTCCACTGCAGGAGTCACGGCAGACTCCTGCACAACTCACAGTCCTGCAGCCTTGAGCACATGAGGAGTACAGACACAGACAGTGAATCCTGCAAAGCTTCGAGACAGCCACATTCTATTCACCAGCTACCTGCATGCTTTACAGGAATGTAAACCTCGACCTGAAGTTTGTCAACAAAACACAACTGATTGTGAAAGAATGAACTACTATCTTGTTAATGCACCGGAGGCATAGTTTCAGCAGCTTAGGAATCTGAGGCAAGAGCTGGGAAAGTGAGCAATCTATGGCTGTTCTTCTGACTAGCACAACTGCAGCGAAAATGTAAAAATGTTTCTAGTGCTACAACATTTAACAGCTCAGATTTCAAACACGCAAGAAGTATTGCAAAGCCGAAAGAGTGGATGAGATGTTTGTTTCTTTAACTGAGTACAAACTGGATGTGGAATTTCCTTTTGGAAGAAAAGACTGAACGGGAGATGACTTGGATTCCCATTTGTGTATTGCATCATACAAAAAAAAGAAAGGATGATATAACAAACTGCAATTCTGAAGAATCCAGGCAACAGTAAAAAATAATTTCAGGTTAACACCTTCAGTGGGTCTCTCACTTTAAAACCTACCTTTCTGCTAGGTTTGAAGACTTTCAGACCAGGAATATTTTTGTTATGCTGTTCATACTAATGCTGCATTTGTGTAAATGATAAAAATAAGATTCTTTTCTTTAAGAAAAGAAGTTTAAGAGGACACTGAAAGGTTAGGAATGCTAGCAAGTAGGAGGTTATCATGGCTATTAGTAACAGAACAATGTTCTATCTTTACAAGTACATTAGACAGTATGTTAATCTCAGGCTTTGGACTAACAAAGGTAACTTCAAAGAAATTTTAAATAGCATCACAAACCTGGACATACATGTTGCAAAGCAAGCTAGATATAACAGCTCTCTGTGGCACAGTTCAAAGAAACTGCAAGTACCCTGGGAACACACAAATAGCCCAGACTGATTGCAAAATCTGCTCCATTATCTCCAAATCCCTGCATCTTCTGAATGGAACAGGATCTAAAGTCTTACATAGGATAAGCATGTCCATCACTGTCAGCTATGGCAGTTCTTGTTTGTGTCTGTGATCTCATGACTGAAGGTGTTCTTAGGTCTGGGGAGCTCCTTAGGCAAGCCTTCTCATGCACAGAGCCTATGTGTTTTATAAATGCTTCTACTACTCCTCTTATAAAAATAACAGTCTGCCATTACCTCTCAGAGAGCCTGTTCTATTTACAAGTTGTACCCAGACAAGGATTTTTAATGAAGTTTTGCCTCTTTCCTACATGACTTTCAGATATACTCAAATGATCTTAGTTTGGGACAGTTAAGGATTGAATGCCAAGTCAGCATGTAAGTTGTCTGCACAAAAAGCATCTGTCCCTTCTTTTATCCTGTGGTAATTACTACAGATTATTCAATCTTGCTTCTTTGATGATTCTTAATAGAAACAAATCCACAATGCAGTTAATCACAAAAGGTTGTTGCTTGTTGTGAGATCGATTTGTAATGGTAGAAAATGTTTCTATCTCAGCCCAAAGCTCTCTCATAGTGATTCGTATAGCACTGGCAAAACAAAAACAAAACAAACAAGCAAACAAAAGAACCCAAAAATGTTTTACAATGGGATTTTAACCCGGAATTGTGAATTTTAAGGAGTTTGCTATAATTTGACTTTAGAAGACTGAATGTTTCTCCTTAATGGACAAATTGTTTAAGCCAGACAACACCAGAAAGGAATTGCTGATAGCTGTAAAGGTCCTCCTCCTACATCTGAGCCCTGCATTAAAGCTTCTGGATCCTGAAAATGAAAATCTTGACTGGATCTGCAAAGAATTCCACACTAAGTATTTCAGCTATCTGGGTTTCTGAGGCAATAAACTTTCTCAGAAGAACTGTATGTATCCATACCTTTCTTAAGCCATCCAGTGATGCTTTTTGTTCACCTCTCTACTCAGAGGGTAACAATCTAATTGTGTGATCCAAGTCTTCATGTCATTAACCAAGACGTCTAGAATTTTTAATGTTCATTATAAACCAAATCTAAGTCCAAGAACATCTGCTGGATTTGCACAGGGTGAAATTCCTGGGAAGCTGAGAGTTGGCACATGTTCTCTGCGGGCAGAAGCAGACCACATAAACAGCACACAGACTTCTGTGCCCTTCTGCACAGAGAAGATCCTGACCCCAAGTTAAGAATTGCAAATAACGAGTGATTTTGCACTGAACTTGCACTGCTTATATGCAGAGACTAAATCTATCAACAATGCTATTTACTGTGACCAGTGCATGACTGCAGCCTTTCTAGCAACGAGCCAACTTCTTTATCAGATGGGAAGCATTCATACAGTACTGAACTTTCAATCCATGTAATCAGTGAATACATGGTTATTTCATATTCCTCCTATAAAGAGAATCCGGGTCAATTCTTCTGCCAAAATCTTTTAAAATTCCACAAATAAATAAATAATGTTATTTCACCTGTTAACACACAGGAACTGTTTATTTTGGCCAGATTGTTCGGACTCTGCGTGCCAGGTTATAAATAAAATAACGTTCAATACTCTAAACATTCTGTGATACAAATTCCTGGCTCAGCATAAATACAGATCTTTTGCATGTGGCTGGTTCTTAAATCACGCTCCAGCACTGACACTATTAAATTCATGCATCTCTGACACTGTGTATCTATAAATATTTGTAATTCCCAATCATAGTGCAAAAAATGCAATTGCAGATAAGCCAATTTGCCCATCACGGGCCTCTGCTTTAGTGGATTTTGCTTGCTGGAGTTTGGGTTCTTGGAAAGCAAAATGCAACTACTGTATCCCAGTGGTTTCTGCACATGCCGTACATTCCAGAACAAAAGTAGGCCTTTCTGAAGAGCAGAACAGTTACAAAGATAAGATAAAAGCAAACTGGAATATAATATTCCTGGGAAATTTCAAGTCTTTATACAAACATGAAGTTGGTCATGTAAAGGATGTTTTACCAACAATGCTGGCAGAGGCTGAATTTCTTATATTGCTGGGCCTCCTTCCCAAGCAAAACTACCTGTTACTTTAAGATCAGAATGCAAATACAGAGCAGATTCTGCACTGGTTTAATCCACTGCATATAGGAATTAATTCCACTGATGTCACCAGAGAAACTAAGTTCAGGCAGATCTAAATGAAGGTAAAATCCAGCCCTAAGGAAAGGGGACTGATGGTTTTGGTTCTGCCTTTAAATGGAGGGCATACTTTCATCTCAGGTGGTTGAAGTAAGCCTGGGACTGGACTGTGCTGTGTAGGCCTCAGAATAGCATGAGATTCAGTTGTACAGCTCTAGTTTTGCACCTGTGGTAATAAAATGGTATACCATCAGACTCTGCAAGCAAGATCTGCATGAGAAGGACAAACAATTCAGCAGCGCGTGCCATCAGTTAACCTTTGTCTCTGTGTGAGTTTGCTAAGGCTTCCACATTCTACTTAACAACAGTTTTCCCAGACCCTCAAACTTACCACCTGTGGAATAAGAGGTATAAGGCTCAGCTCTCTTCTCAGCTGCATACTGATGCTTTCAGGGAGATAAAACTTTCATCACATCCTCTCTTTGTGAGATTTCTCTTTTTCTCAGTGACTAGGTTTCTGATTTGAAGTCTAAATACTTAACTGATACACATACTGGAAGAAAGAAAACATCTATTTTCCTTTCAGGCTGTCCAGGCTGGGCATGGGATTCCTCCTTAACTCCCTGAAGTCCTGACAGATACTGTTAATGAACTTCTTTTTGTAGAAGTCAACCTGTTAGCCAGATCGATTTGGAGCTGTTTTTTGAAACATGTAAAACAGTTTCAGCACTGTTCATGAAGTGGACTTTTAATGCTAAGAGTTGAGTTGATGGTCTGTGGTGAGAATCCTCATTTTTAGGGTGGAAGTTGTGTGGGTTTAGCCATTGAATGGATAAGATGTCCATTAATACTCATTTCAAACCTGTTTGTTGACACATCCACAAGCCTGCGTTGCAGTATTTGGGTCACAAATAGCATAAAGGGAAAGTTTAAATCCCAGCAAAAACATCAATCAAAAGCTTCCTTTCAAAATGTTTAAACTGCAAAACAGACTGCACATGGAAGCATAGCATACTGAACATCTTTGGATTTAGAGAGAAAATGCTGTGCACTGCTCACTGGTACCTTAGACCAATCGCCTGTTTTCCATTCATAACAGCCTGTGTGATCCTCACATTCTTCCTCGTCTCTTGGCCTGGTGGCTGCATCACATTTTCCTTGAGAATTTGTACATGTTACTGTTCTTTTTTGGATCCCTTTGCCACAGTCTGCTGAACACTGCAAAACAACAGGTATGTTTTATTATTTCTAGGAATCATGCAACAGAATTTTTATTTTTGTAACATATCTAAAAGGAAAGCTCAGTTTTATGCACACAAAAACTGATAACTTGCAAAATTTTTCCCCAGCAACTGAAACCACTTTCAAACATGATTAATCTGAATAATATGAGATACACTTCTGTGATCTTTGACTTAGGAAAAATAGCATTGCGCTAGAAATGGTGTTACTAAGTAGCTAAATCTTGCATTTAAGAGCTCATTATTCATAACAGAACTGCCATATACCTTTATGTATCACAGGAGTAAAACAATGAGGAAAAATGCACTTTATGTAGTAGGAGGTTGTGGTTACAAAACCAGCTCTTGCAGTACTGTTCGTATGCACCATGGTGAAGTCACTGCTCTCACACACGTTCTCATGTGCACATGTGTGACCTTCAGTCTTTGAATTGCCACCTCCTCATCATCACAATGTTAATTTCAAAGAACTTGAAGTGTACAAAGCAGATCACTCAGCAGAGACACCATTCAGTGAACCACAGAGTTGTCATCACCTTCCAACCATGGCCAGCAAGTTGCCCACATTCATCAGCAGGTACAAAAGATGTGCTCCTCAACATCAAAAGCATAAGCAGGGACTGTGGGAATGCAGCAGGCTACAAGGGCTCTAGGCTCAGTTGCTGGAGAAAGACTAGATTCAAGCATTTGGGCACTAGTAACAAACATCCATGCAAGTGAGCAAATATTGTCCACAAATATTTTAATGCTTAGACGCTGTTATTTATGCACTTTGAAAAAGCAGAAATAACTGGTAGCCCATTTGCTATCTGACAACAGTTGACTGGAAATTCTGTTTTACTGGTGAATTTGTCTTGACTGTAACAGGTGGGAGAAAGACACTGTTGTGAACTGAAATGGAGAAATGTTTTAAATAACCAGTTCAGACACAGGTTAATAGATCTAGCAATGCTGATACAGCCATCTATGTGCATGCTACTACACAGCAGCACAGCTAGTCTCTCTGCTCTTCATTTTCATGCCACTGCAGTGGTTAAGAGTGAGAAATTTTCTTAAAGAGCCACTGGGGACAGGTGGATGGAAAAATGATATATGTATGAACTGAGATAAAAACTAACCTTCTCTAGCATGTCAAGTTCTCCCCTTTAGGGGATCGGCACAGAAAAAGACAGTTGAGTTGACACTGAATAAATACTGAAGATATGAGATATTCTGTGAGGTCTTTTGAACATAATCCAAGAAGCTTCTCCATCCAGGGGGTCTATGCTGGAAACAAGCGTCAGCTTGATATAAATTACATCAAATGGACAAATCTCAGCATGCCTGTCTAATCGTCTTAAAAATACAATCCAGGCAGTTCTGACCTGCTGGCCTTGTTAAGGACATGAATGACAAGCGTTTATGAGCTGGCAAGCAAACAGACATGCCTTTAAATACTTCAGAGCACTACAAAGTGACTTCTTGAAAATCTGGGAAACCTTCCACTTAATTTACTATGTGCTGCTCATGGCATGACTGCCTTACGGATGTAACATCTTTGTAACAAGCACAATTGTATAGCTGTGCTAGATACCAGGGTGAATTCTTCCAGGCTTTGCACAATTCCAGAAACTGCTTTGCTGGAATCCTCAAAATGCAAGAATTGCCAGCGAGCCAACACCGGAGCTCCCTAAATATTACCTTAAAGCCATGAATTTGCCCTAAGCAGTACAGATTTTCCCATATTAACTATAATTTTCCTCAGCCTTCAGGGTGGACTCCTTGGGGTTGCTCTTGTTCATCTCAAACTCTAAAGAATAATATGTAAAACAATTCAAATGGTCCAATTTACTGAAAGTAAATCAAACTGGAGTAGGAGTATTTTTCACAGTATGAGAAATCTCTAGGTGGGTTGTACAACTAAGTTTGGGAAAGCACCAACTGTTTATTCTTCCCACAAGCTTTTAAGTCATTCACAGATTAGTATTGCATTTACTTTTCCTAGACAAAAGGTTCCCAACAGATCTTTGGTTGTCACATATAAATCACTCCCTTTAAGAGTTTTTTTTGTTCAAGTCCTGTGTCATCATGAATTTTTTCTAATGCATAGATTTTACACAGATTCTAAAACAAGATAGTCTACCAGGCAATATGAGGAGCCCCTTAGTGTCCAGTAGATAATTAGGCTTTATTTTATTAACAAATTTTCTATTCAAATCCCACAAAGTTTTGTAAAGGAGTATCACAACTTTGCAGTTAAGATATGACTTTTTTATTTGAAGGAAATCCATTATTTTTTTCTACTCAAGTTCCTTCCCTAACAGTAGAAACATTCACCTTTTTGTGACAGTCTCTATTTCTGTCATTAAAAATGGATTAAGTGGTACTTTGTCCAAAATAATCTCAAGTGTTTGGCAATAAAAGTGGAACTTAATTTTTTCCACACTGAAGATTGTAATGGAATTTGCTTTGAGAACACACATTTTTGATTGGGGACCAGACACCAATGTGTTCAACTGTTTTTTTGTTGTATAACCAGAAGTTCAAAAACACACACAAGAAAATTGATTTATAAAATGTTATTACTACTATGATATTTTTTCCACAATATTAGAACAAAATGAGTTACGTAGTCACAAATACAGAAGATTTCCACTTCATAAAAAATCTTCTGTAACTTACTCCAGTTAAAAACAAGAACACAGAAGTACCTAAGATTGTAAAAAGACCACAAACACTCCAATGACAAAATTCACCATGTAAGGCAGGTAGAAGCTGCAATGAGAAGACTAGTCTGCTATACACACTGCTACAGCTCACCGTGTATAGCTGTAAGAAATAAAAAGGGCATCATCTAAAGGGTTGTTTTTGTAACACATAAAAGATGTATCAGAGAAATTATTAAAAGTCTATGTATTTCTCCACATCTTTTCAAATCAGGTAAAAGAATCTAATGCATTAGTGAACAGGTACAGTGTTCTACTGAAAGGAAACACTACTCTCACTTAATTATCTCACTTGCCAAACAAAGATTTTCTGTTCAAAAGGTGGACAATGGATCCACGCTGTGTTTTTGTTAAGAGACACTGTTTTTTAGTGCCAGATCCCTGGTATCTTGTCTTCTGTGACTTTTCTAGCAATAATATTTTGCAAAAGATCTTTGACAATTGCTTTAACAGGAGCTCACTGTTTCAAAATAGAGACAAAAAACATGAAATATCCTCCCCACAAAAATGGCTGTTTCTGGACAGTCTTGTAGCACAGCCAGTCTGGAATGAGACTGGTAGAGACATACGTACTGACCAAGACTGACATTATCTTTTCATTGTTCAGATCAGTCTAACAGATACAGCATCAAATTTGACATGGAAAACCTATCAGAACCATTACTGACAAGGTACAGTCAAAGCTACCATGTATTAGCTGAGTGCTTCTCCTGAACTATAAGCATACTCTTGGTTCCTTCTGTTGCTAAACAAAGCGAAGGCTGTCCAGATGACACTTTGTTCACATGTGAAATGGATTTATAATATCTGAAAATAACTTCTTAACTCTCTGCAACTACATGGAGGCATACACTAAAGCAAAGTATAACCAGCTTTTCTATGTTCCTGGAATTACACAAAAGAGGGTTGGACAAGGCCCAAAGACTGTACATTCTCTGTAACATGCAGCTGTTTGATAAATCTGGTATTTTGTTTCATACCACATTTAAACAGAGCCAGAAGATCTGTTGGGTTCCTACACTTCCAGCTGCAGGTCAGTGAAATGTTTTTCCTTGGTGGTCAGATTTTTCAGATGGAAATATATAGTTAACATAGCACTATATCTAACAGTTGCCTTAATAACTCATCTGGTATGTGATACAAACCTCAGCTTCAACCTAATCATTTCAACAAAAACCAATCCTACCTAATGCCTCAGTACTGCAAGTTACTAAGTATGCTGACCGTGAGAACGTGCTTAAATTCAGGCTCTTAGCTAGATTAGGGCAGTGTATCCAGAACTGTGTGCTGTCTGGCTTCTCTCTTGGCCCAAGTTCTTACCTTTGACCACTCTGATGCTTCCCAAATTGAGAGGCAGTCCCGTCCTTCACAGCTTTGTACTGTTGCAGGTTTGTTGCCAAGGCAGTAGAGGTCTCTTGTGTTAACGTAGGTGCCATTTTGCAGCTGATAAACACAAGTCACTTCCCGATGCTGGATACCTTTCTCACAAGTGGCAGAGCAGGGACTCCAATGGCCAGTCACCCACCTGGGAAGTAGACGGAGAGGGCATATTAAAAAAAAAAAAAAAAAGAAAAAAATGGATAAAATTTTGTGCTTAACTTAAAAACAGAGAAATAAGAAATTGGTTTGTGGTTCTCCAATGTTGCTGTACTGCTGTCAGACTGAGATCTGGCCTGAAGTCTGTAGAACAGAAAGGGGCTGTGTACAAGTGAATATCTACTCTTGGCTCCATGCAGAACAGTAACACCATTCATAGAATTAGGGACCTTAAAAATGGGGAATAATTGGCTATAGCCATTGTTAGCAAATTTGGATACTATTTAACTGTTCAATAAATACTTAAAAATACAAGATTACTCCACTAGAAAGGAATCTGCGATTCAAAGCTGCCATAGGGATGTACCATAACACAAATTGGATGGGAGTGGGGGATACTTACCTATAACCATCACTTTTCTGAGCTTTGGGATTCATTCACTTTGTAAGCACATTTCAGTTGCCATTTGCCTTCCCTTTGATCAAATGTGCTGGGAACAAATACATGAACATCGTTTTGGTTTGTTTGTTTGCTTTGTTTTCTCTTTAAAGGCTCATAGTGCTGCGAGGTGCTTGGGTTCCTCTAGTGTAAGGAACTGCTGCTATGAGCAGATCCCTGCTGTGGCCATGCATCCTTCTAGGTCAGTGTAAGGCTGACTGAAAGGCTCCATGACAAGATGCTCTGGCAGCATCACTGTGGTTAAAAAGCTGGCCTACGTAGCAGTGGATAAAATGTCTGAGAAGAATCTGAATAAGGAGGTATATAAAGAGGAACAATTATTTCCTAAAGACAAGCAGCATCCATCTTCATGCTTCCTGTAATCTGTCAATGAGGAACATGCTCTTTGTAATTACAGGCATTCCTGGATGAAGTGAATGATGGGAACAATATCTGTAGGCACTAGGCACCGGAAGGCTATCATCACCAGGTAATTGACCTTCTAGCCTGTTATTTAGGACTGTCATCTGGATTAGCATCCTAATACCATGAATCTTTTACTTGTCACCCAATCCTGGGTTGCCTGTTATGATAAGGACCAATATAAGAACACTCAAATATAAAAGTTTGCTTAGAAATATTGTTTCATTTTACTGAAGTTTCCAGTAGTCAAGGCAGAGCAACACACAACACCTTTCTAGTCACATTTCTTTTGAATTTGCTCCGTAATGCCTCAAAAATCTAACAACTCTTTCTCTTTCTGACATTTGTGAGTAGGGAAAAATCATTTCAAAACAGTTTGCAGAAACATCCTCATCTGGTGTAATTGGCATGAATTGATTTGCCAGCTACTGCGACTGGTGACCTGCTGAGACAGCACTGATGACAGTGAAGGCAGAAACCAATTGGTTTGAGCAGAACAGAATCAGGAAGGCTGCCCACCTGTTTTTTGTGGAACAGAGCCCCATTCAAATGTTTCTTTCAGAAATTAACATCTGTTAATTTCTGTTGGCTAAAACAGCTCGCAAACCACCAAATGTATTCTCTAGAGAGTCATTTTGGTGCATCACTGTGGCTGAGTACTTGCTATTTACTTATGGAATGGGAAAATGCCAGCTGAGCAATTGAATACTGAGACTGACAAAAACAGACTTCAAATGCAGAAATCAGTGTTAATTAAAATTAATAGCCAGGCTTCCTTGCTATCAGCTGGGCTGTGCCCTGCTAGAGCCCACGTATAAGCAGCTATTGAGCCAGGTGAAGGAACCGTTCAGTAAGGACACAAAGGAAGAAAAAGTAACTTTGCTTTCTGAGCTGAATGTGAGTCACAGGGCCAGGAAGGGTTTCTGTACAGGCTCCACTGAACTAATATTCACTTCAGCACCATGCTCTCACTGTGATCTACAGCTACTGGCAGAAGAAAAAGGGACTGAAAGCAAAGGAGAAAGATAAAAATACATTCTTGGCAGAAGCTGCCTGTGTGCTTTCATTTAGGATGGGCAGCACGCTGCATGCCAACTATTTCCAAGATGCTGTAAGAAGTCAGGTTATGACTTTCCCTTCAGGAAGGAAAATTTCTTTTTCTATTTTTCTTTTGTTACTTTTGTGGAGGGGAGAAGTCACCTCATTTCTACCCTGCTGAGTGATCTCTGGTTAGGGCTGCTCCAGCACACACACGCATAGTCTCTACGACAGAAAGAACAAGTATCATCATCAACATGAGAAGATTGCACACAGCATCAGTCAAAACCTAGAGAATCAACAGCAGGCTATGGCTCAGGTCATTTCTGATCTAGTCTGTGGTAAAGATTTGATCACCCCCAGCATTTTTATTACAGTGGTATCCATACAGCCAGCTTCAGCTACACATCCACTACATCCATCTCTGACCCTAGCCTGTGTTCACTGATGGATACTAAGAACATGGGGCACACTATAAAGGATCTCTGAAATCTCACAGCCTACTTGTCCTACCGGTGAAACTATTATTTTAGTGCCTGAAAGACACCAAAGATTGTTTAATCACTCTGACAGGATTGCAACATCATAGCATACTACCAAACTGAAAAGACAAAAGATTTGTGATTAAAATGGTTAAATATGAAAATTCCTGTCAGTTTCAGAATTAGTAAAGGAACACGCAGCATGGTATTTGTAAAATTACCATTTGCAAGTAATAAATAAGCTGGGAAGACAAATGAGATGCACAAATAGCAGCACATCATTGTTAGTATTAAATTACACTACAGACATTTTCCTCTCTATGCTGTTATAACACCTTTTGAACACCTCTAGACAAATTTAAGAATGAGAACTTAATTTTCATTTTCAAAAAAAGTTTAAGTATTTTTCTTATGACAACTTAGAAAATAATTCCAGTGTTCAAATACAGAACACCAAGTCAGCTCTGTGTTATTAATCAAGCCCATTAACAGTTGTACATAAGCAATGTGTATCATGTGGACCATTTGGCTTTATCCATGCTTTTTTTTCCTCTTTTTTGTAATCTTACATCAATGGAAAACTCAAGGGTTAGATGATCCCTGCTGGTTAGATTTATGAAGAAAGTGGTAAGCTCTTAAGTAGAGATTTTTTAACCCAGAGATTGGATATCTTTCTAGCTAAAAAATGCACTGTAGGGTCTGTTTTTCTCTAGCCTCTGAAGTCTGGGATGGGCAGAACATGCAATCTGAGAGGGCTGTTTTAAATCTTTATCTTCTGAGTCTTCTTCAACCTCTGACCTCTCCATATCTCTGTTAAGAAATTGGGAGTTCTTCTCATCTGCTTTTGCAACAACCATCTGGCAGGCCCCTGGAGCAAACGTGAAATATCTTTAAGAAGTTCAGTTCATCATTTGATCTTCGTAGAGTCTGGATTAGTCATTAACATTGAATTATCTATTCTACCTACTTGCTTAAGACTCCCATGTTTTCTATGGAAAAAAAAAAAAAAAGAGTTTACAACACTATGTACACAAACCCAAAGGAGATGAAATGTCTGCAAATGACTAGTTGCAACTAAAAATTTGGGAAAACATGCAATGAAGAGGATCCAGGCTGAAGGATGAGGTGGAGAAGTGCAATCAAAAGAGATTTGTAACCTCAGAACAAAAAGTAGTTGCATGCTCTAGGATAAATATTGCAGCTCATTAAGTTTCACCTGGTTATTTCTGACTGGAGCCCTGCATAGGACTGGTGCCTGCAGGTTGGTTCTGGTCCACTAACAGAACACCCTCCATATGTTTGCACATGTGCATACTCCCCCACAGGGACTCTGTTACTTCTGTTCCCTCCCAAATGCTACACTGAAATTCATTTCCTTGCTTTGGTAGTAATAACTTGGATTTGACCAAAGATACATTTGTAATAACACTGATAGCTCTATTTTTAGTAAACCTGGTTTTTGATTACTACTATTAGTTCAGAGCCTGCACTACCACTGAATTAAGTATCAGAGGACATTTGCTTCTAAACAATATGTAGCTGATTTGAAAAAGCACGTTACTGATACTAATCTAAAGCAGTGCAATTTGAACACTCTAACACTTTGGTTTAATGTAGGTTGTTGAGTTACTGTACAGGAGGGGATAAACTCCATTTTTAATTAGAACTGGTTGTCTTTAGCTCCAGTCTTTGATGCAAAATCATGTTGAAGTTGCTGTTATTTTTCCAAGACAGCTGGATGAAATTGTGGCTCTACTGAAATCATGCACAACTCTGACTAACATCACGGGGGCCAGCATTTCACATGGAATAAGTGCAGAAAGCAGAACAGGAAAAGATTTCTGAGAATTAGTCACATGAAACTGATCATCAGATATTTTTTGCTTGTATCTATCAACCTATTCAAGTTCATACTTGAATACATAGGGGGATGAAAGAACTGTTTGCAAGTAGACCCATGATTTCCATCAAATACATACACTGCTATTGTATCTTCTTCTCTCCACAGAGTTCTGAAACTCTCCACTAATCTCTGCTATGCTGGGGTCAAAATAATCAGGTGAATCTTGATTTCTGGGAGCAGGTTGTGCCACACCCAGACACAGTTGTTGCATTGGGTTTTTTTTTTGGAAAAAGAGTACAAGGAATCTAGTAGAATAATACAGCTGCTGATGTCGAAAGTAGGACTCCAAGACTAACATTCCTGTCTGATTGCCTTTATAAACAGTGCTCAGTAATTTTCCAGTACAGTAGTCATTCTGCTAGCAGACTTGCCAGCTTTCGCTCACACAGATTTCTTTTTTCTCTAGTGATTATCATTTTGACAGCTTTATTTTTTTAAATTTCCCATTATAAAATTGATCAGAAGACACTGTTCTATAATTTATGCTCACTTTAGGAAGCTGTTTTTTCATTTTTTTTTAAATCAAACTCTTTTGATTCTCCCTCCTTTCTCCCTCAGATGGAGCAGATCACTCTGTTTCCAAAATGTCAATGTGGCACTGATGTGACTTGTTGTCCTTGTTTGCAGCTGCCTCACTGCACTAAGGCACAAAATAGCAGCATGTTAAGAGATCTTTTGCAGTGAGATCCCCCTGTCCTGATCCA